TCACCTCCCCCTTGACATCTTTGCCTACTCTCCTCTGGCTCCTTGATAGATTCGTCTCACTCCCCGGCCTTCAAATTCACCCCCAGAAGTCAATAGCACTCAATATTTCCCACCCCCCTAATGATCGGGCCCACTTAAAACAGATACTTCCGTTCTCCTGGTCACAAAGTTCTATTCCCTTCTTGGGTATAAAACTAACCCCAAATATTTTGGATCTCTACGCCGCCAATTACTCCCCCATGTTAGTCCATCTTACAGCGCTTATGACCAAATGGTCTACTTTACCACTGGCTTGGTTAGGCAGAATAGCAGTCGTGAAGATGTCAATTCTCCCCAAAATTTTATACTTCTTCAGAGTTCTCCCAATCTCAGTACCCGCCCATTATCTTCGTACCTTACAGCACCACATTTTTTCCAATGTCTGGGGCAAGGTTCGCCCCCGCATACCCCGCTCTACCTTATATCGCCCCAAACTTAATGGCGGACTCGGTCTCCAGGATATCAGTAAATACTACCAATATAATGTCAGGGATCCGGGTATGACCAGAGATGTGTGTACTGACACAGGGAAACGCAGGCTTCAGATATGGTATAAATAAGACAATTTATTAAGACTAACAATACAAATATAAACACAGTGCACCAAACCCCAAGCTAACACAAATACATACAACAAGGTGAAACAAACCCAAACCTAAACTGATATAGATACACAGGTACATACACATATAGAGCACAATGTAGTCAGGCAGGCCGGGTGGATAACTATCGGGCAGGTAGGTACAGGAGGAGCAGGCGGAGAGAATGGTCAGGGTCACAAGCCAGGGATCAAACAGGAGAAGTCAGCAGAGGTCAGGATCAGGCAGGGTCAGCAACAAGTCAGGCAGGAACAGGAACAGAAATGCAGGTTACAAGGTACAGGGGCCCATGGAAAAACACACACCAAGGCACAGACTGCAGGTCTGGCCATCCCTTAAATACACCTGCAATCAGCCCCAGGTGATGGTTAATTGCCGAAGTGAACCTCTGGTTGTTGAGAGCACCCGCTGGCCAGCCATGGTACTGCAGCCCACAAGGCAGGTGAGTCCCACCACTACTGGCAAGTCCATTCCTGACACATAGCACAATTACCGAAATATCATGCTACCTACGAAATCCCACAATGGGTTATCCTTGAATCTATAGAGTGTGACCCCTTATCTACTGCTAACCTTCTTTGGTTAAGACCTATTGACCGCCATTTGGTTACTAACCCCATCACTTCTCATTTTCTGCTTCTTTGGGATAAACTGAAATCCTGCTATCTTCTACAGTTGCCACATAATCTTCTACTCTAATATCTTCGAAACCCAGCCTTTCCCCCAGCCTGGTCCTCGCCGCACTTATTCGATCACTGGACCTCACCCAACCTCATCCGGGTCCACCATTTCATGCTCAGGAACAAATTTAAATCCTTAACTTCACTACGCGAAACTCATGAACTCCCAGCTTCCAAAATATTTCGGTATCTACAATTGAAACATTTCTACACTCCATACACCACAGCAAACAGTCTAATGAACACCATGTCCCCCTTTGAAGACCCCCATAGACGAGGCCTCATCTTATATTTGTACTCCCTCCTCACAACTTTGACCACTACGGCTCCTCCCTCATACATACGCAAATGGGAAATGGACCTTGGCTGGCAACTAGACCCTTCTGACTGGGACCACATCTAGTCCAATACTAAATCATCATTGCAAAATATTGTAGCCCTAGAAGCCAACTACAAAGTCCTGACTCGTTGGTACCTAGTCCCAGCAAGAATAGTGAAGTATACCCCTAGCTACCCCTCCACTTGCTTTAGAGGCTGTGCAGACCTGGGCACACATTTCCATATATGATGGGACTGCCCGATCGTCCAAGTCTTCTGGGCAGATGTCTTTAGTATAATATCTAAATTTAGCGTGAAAACTCTCCAACCGAACCCGACCACCGCGCTGCTCAACTTACCCCCCCCTGGTGTCACAAACGTACAATTCAAACTTATCCTACAAGTTGCTACAGCAGCCAAGCAGGTCATAGATAAATCTTGTAAATCTCCCTCACTGCAGTGGTTAAAAATAAAGTCACCCAGGCTATGATCCACGCCAAGGTAGAAGCCACAATCTTAGATATCATCCCTAAATTCAAGAAAGTTTGGAACCCCTGGGTAGAGCATTTCCTCCCGCCAAACTTTGATGACTCACTTCTCAGCCCGTAATAAATATCCCAAGCTACTTTGGTACCACTCCTTACCATTCTCACATTCCCCTCCATTTACTGCTACTAACCGTGGAGTCACCTACCCCTTCTTACCCCTCCCCTCTTACCCTCTGATCTTCCCAGCCTGCCCCGCCTCCTCTTTTTTTTTCTTCCCCTTTTTTTTTTTGTTGTTCTTTTCCCTTTTTAATATTTCCTCCCCCCTGTTCATACGGTATAACTTTACATTCCTATATTATGATTCCCCTACGCCACATTGGGGAGCGTGCATATCTATTTGTCAAAACTTCGTATGTACCAAAGTTAATGGCTTTTTTCATCTTCTATTCCCTAAAACTGTTACTTTATCACTACAACCTCCATCCCCCTCCCCTCCCCTTTCTTATAAAGTCTTTGTTGTCATTGATGCTTATTTTTGTACTTATGCAATTTTCTGTATAAGAAATGTATATCCCCATTGTCCCTTCTTTTCCCCCCTGTTGAAATTAATAAATCTTTGAACAAGAATATTTAACACTCCCCTCCTCCAAGATTAAAAATGGTGATGTCAAAAGGTGCCCCTCTGCATCTTCATCCAGACTGGAGGAACTCTAATACATGAGTTGTGTTACTGACCACTAGGTGAAAACAGAGGGAAAAAAAGAAAACTAATGCAGCTTTGACATTTAATGATTGGTAAGCTGCAATATACAGTATTAAATTTTTGGTTTTGGGTTGAATAGTGCTGTAAGTAAAAGGGTGATACACCCCTTGTACCAATTGATGTATCCAGAGCAAAAAAAAGGCGCTACTTTTAAAAAATTCAGAACCTTGACATGTAAATTTTATGTAATTCATTTGCTTTAAATTACAAACTGTACAGTGCCTTTCTATGGTTACCATGTCTATGGCAACATATTTCTAGTATGAATTCTGTTCTCGGCAAACTTTAACCACTGTTTTCTTGCTGCATTCCCTAAGATTCTTCAATACACAGAATTGTAAAAAAAAAAAAAAAATTAAGAAAATCCTTGGGATTATGCTTCTGTGACTACACATATCTCAACTATTTTTAACTGAGGTGGCTGTTCAAGTTTTAAGAATATCTTAAAAATATAGTAAAAACTCTTCAAATGAGAAACAAAACTCAAAGTCTAGGAACTGCATATCGGCTTTTAAAACATATACTAAATTGTTGAAGATATTGATCTCAATATACCTGTATTGATATTCAGTTGGAAAGTATATAGACCTAAAATAGCTTGTGTGCACTGATTAATTTCTTTCACTAGCTTATCTACCTTACATTGCAGCAGCTGAATCTCTCAGATAAGATTAATGGAGAACATTACAGAGAGCCTACTTACATACAATTGAGTTCAGAAATGCTGAATAAATGCATGACCATCTTTAGGCAAGTCACCTATTCCTGCCAAAACAAGTGAAATTAAATCTTAAACCAATATTTTCCTTCCTGCTAAAGTGTCTAGCAATATGCAGGTAAGATGTTGATATTTCTCTAACATATGCTATCATTCATTTTTCATAATATTTTTATTTAATGTTTAGGTTAGGTAATTCTTCATACATTTTCATATCGTTATCAACATCATCACATCCACTAGATGCGTATTTTTTTAATACAATATAAGTACCTTTCTGCCACTTTGTAAATAAAAGTGTAGTGGTTTTACACTATGACTATTTATTTGTCTTTGCTTTACATTTGAAACATTGGATGAGTGGGATTGCTGTATGTGGAATTTTGAGAAACCCTCTGGTACATATTGAGCATGGTGGACCTCTTATCATATGGGGTCTTGGTATCTGGTAAGTAGCAGATATTAATTGTGGTGGCAGATTTCACAAGTGTCACAGAAAATGTTAAGTTTTATTCCTGGCATGGAATGGACTTTATCATTCACATTGTTTGCCATCTGATTCACAGTGTTTATTCAAAGACACAGCACAACAATTTGTTGGTTTATTGCCATATAAATTCGGTATCCAAAATAAATCAAATAATAAATAGATATACAACCTTATTTGACACTCCAAAGTCTCACTTTCACCTTTGAAAGTCAAAAAACTGTAAATAAACCTTTTAGTGTCAGTGAAAAATTATATTAACCACTTGCCTACCAGGCACTTATACCCCCTTCCTTACCAGGCCAATTTTCAGCTTTCAGCGCTGCCGCACTTTGATTGACAATTGCGCGGTCATGCAACATTGTACCCATATGAAATTTTGATCATTTTTTTCTCACAAATAGAGCTTTCTTTTGGTGGTATTTAATCGCCACTGGGCACTTTACTTTTTGCGCTATAAATTAAAAAAAGTGCAAAAAATTTGAAAAAAAAAAAAAAAGTTTATTTGTTTCTTTTATAAAATTTTTCAAACAGGTATTTTTTCTCCTTCACTGATTTGCATTGATGAGGCGGCACTGATGGGCACTGATAGGCGGCACTGATGGGCACTGATAGGCAGCACTAAAGGGCACTGATAGGCAGGACTAATGAGGTGGCACGGATAGGCGGCACTGATAGACAGCACTAATTAGGGGTCACGGATAGGCGGCACTGATATGCAGCACTGATAGGCGGCACTGATATGTGACACTGATGATGGGTACTGATAGACGGCACTGACTGGCATCACTTCTGGGCACTGACTGGCGGCACTGACTGGCACAACCCCTGGGCACTGACTGGTGGCACTGACTGGCAGCACTGCTGGGCTGCACTGGTGGGTGGCACTGGTGGGCAGCACTGGTGGGTGGGCACAGGTGGGTGGCACTGGTGGGCACAGGTGGGTGGCACTGGTGGGCACAGGTGGGTGGGCACAGGTGGGTGGCACTGCTGGGCACATGTAGGTGGCACTTCTGGGCACAGGTAGGTGGCACTGCAGAGTGGCACAGGTGGGGGCACTGCTGGGCACAGGTGGGGGCACTGCTGGGCACAGGTGGGGGCACTGCTGGGCGGAACTTGCGGGTGTCACTGCTGGGCACCGATCATCAGGGCACTGATCATCAGTGCCCTGATGATCGGTGCCGATCCCCGCTCTGACAACTGCCGGTTCTCGGCAGTACTTTCCTCACGATCTGACAGCGTGAGGAAAGTGCAGCCGAGAACCGGCACTTGCATTTCCCTGTGATCAGCGTGTCATTGGACACCGCTGATCACGTGGTAAAAGGCCGGTGGGATCGGCCTTTCACCACATCACGTGATCAGCTGTGTCCGTAGGACACAGCGATCACGGAGATCGCCGGGTGCGCGCCCCCTGGGGCGCGCAGGAGAGCGCGTTCTGGGAGGACGTCATATGACGTCCACTCAGAACTGGCCGGCCGCGGTCAGCAAGAGGTTAAAGTCCAAACAATAATTCCTCCATATTCTGTTTCATCTTCCCCGTGTATTTTCAAAGAAGTGTATACCTCCAAAGAAAAAGAAAACTAAATAGTGTATTATCCTCAATTTAATATAAATCCACCAAAAATATTAAAAATGATTTTTAAACTGCAAATTAAAGCTCAAATTTGTGAACAACACGTGAAACACTCTGTGTACACTCTTATATACACATATGTGAACACTCTGTCTACACTCCTATATACACATTGGTGAATACTCTGTGTACACTCCTATATATACATTAGTGAAAACTCTGTGAACACTTCTATGTGACTGAATTGCATACAATTAGGTAGGTATAAAAAAAGCCTTTAGAGTAATCCCCTGGACTCTCACTCCAGTATAGGTATGACTCCCAGGATTGGGTTCCAGGCTTCAATCAGCTGTCCGGTTCTTCCTTCATTCACTTTATCCCATTACCATTCATAGACAGAGAAAAAAGGGGACCATATAGTGTAGTAAATTTCATAAAAGATCCAGTATATTTATTAGTATTGCTTACATTTAGAAATTCATCAACAGGCAAAGATTTCCCATGTTCCAGCCATGAGCAGCTTCCTGGAACGCCGAAGTGCCGAATACCCTCAACAAAGATGGCCGCTCTGCCACTTCTGGTTCCCATGTAGCGTCAAGGGACATGACGTTGGACCAGTCCCTGCACATAGTGAACCCTTTGATCGCCCCTCATGTTAACCCCTTCCTGCCCAGTGCCATTAGTAGTCTCAGTGATTTTTTTTAGCACTGATCACTGTATTGTTGTCACTGTTCCCCCCATTTACAGAATGTGCGCTGCAGTCCCGCTATAAGTCACTGATTGCCGCCATTACTAGTAAAAATAAAAAATGTTAAAAAAATCCCAGTATATATACCGCCATTTGTAAACTCTATAACTTTCACGTAAACAGGGGCAGACTGACCATTTGGAAACTTGGGCACTGCCTGAGGGCCCGGGGTCAGTAGGGGGCCCCATGAAATGCCCCTGGTACCTTTTTCATAGGCTTTTTTGAGCTTGGGCAAGAACACAGGGGCCCCATGATCCCCTATTGCCTGGGGGCCCCATGAGTTGTCAGTCCACCCCTGCACGTAAACCAATTCATTTACATGTATTGGGATTTTTTTTTAGCAAAGACATGTAGCAGAATACATTTTGGCATAAATTTATAATGAAATTTTATTTTTTTTTTACTGGACATGTTCAATAGCAAAAAGTCAAAAATATTGGTTTTTTTCTTAAAATTGTAGATCTTTTTTTTTTATAGCACAAAAAATTAAAAATGCACAGGCGATCAAATACCACCAAAAGAAAGCTCAATTTGTGGGAAAAAAGGACGTAAATTTAATTTGGGTGCAGTGTTGCATGACTGCACAATTGTCAGTTAAAGTAACATAGCGCCGTAAAGCAAAAAATGGCCTGGTCAGGAAGGGAGATAAATCCTCAGGAGGGCAAGTGGTTAATATTTTTATACCTTTAACATATATTTGCAAATTTCACATTTAAAAAAGTGCAAAATTAAAAAAAAAAAAACACTTTATTGCATTTGTAAATAACTTTGCAATGCTTTGTGCCAGAATCATAATTTTAAACAGGACAAATTACTTTTTATGTGCAGTAACACAATTTAATTTTAAGCTAACACTGCTAAAAAAAAATAAAAAAAAAAATAATTTTGTTATGTTTTGTTGCATTTAATTGTTTAAGGATTGTGAAAAAAAATCATTGTTACAAGACAATATTCAGGAAAAGAAAGCATGTTTTTCACAAAAAATTATACTGAATGTATTATGTTTTTATCTTAAGTAATGACAATGTTATTGACAAATAAACAGGCCCATAGCAGATATGTAAAAATTGCTCTGGTCCGCACCTCTGGGTGAACAGGGGTGAGAGGCAAAATAGTAAATAAACTTTATAACCTAAGCCTTTGTAAACAGGCTATGTTGGGATGTATGATAGACCTCATTAGCAGATCTCTGGTTATTAATGATGTGCTAAGTAATGTTACTGCAGAATTGTTAATGGTAATTTTTGAGGTCAAATAGAAGTTCGTTGATGTTTCCAGATCCTCTGATTAATGTTTACTCAATCTAAATGTTTTTCTTTTGTAATGGGATTCAAGAGGTCTGATGGGTTGAATAAGCTCTTACACATGATCAAATCGAATAGAACATTGTGGAGTTGTGAATTTTCAGAACAACATGTTAATAACCATTTGCCGACTTCCCACAGTACCTGTACTGCAGATGGGCCTGCAAAGATCCCAGGAATTGAGATCTGGTGATCATGTGATCAGGGGCGGACTGACAACTCATGGGGCCCCCGGGCAATAGGGGATCATGGGGCCCCTGTGTCCTTGCCCAAACTCAAAAAAGCCTATGAAAAAGGTACCAGGGGCATCTCATGGGGCACCCAACTGACCCCGGGCCCTCGAGCAGTGCCCGAGTTTCCATATGGTCAGTCCACCCCTGCATGTGATCACTATGCAATCATATGATAACATTGCTAGCAAAGCTGTTATGAATCAATCAATAGTCTTTATTGCTCCTGCAATTGTATACATGTTAGATTAGCACATTTAACCCTTTGATCACCCCTATTAACCCTTTGATCACCCGTCACCTAGCCAGTGCCATTAGCACAGTGTCAGTATATAGAATTTTTCATTGATCATCATATTACTGCCACTAGCAACATTAGATAGCGTCAGGGTCAGTTAGCACTCCTCCCAGCCAGGGTCAGCTAGCATTAAATTGCCCACACACTATCACACTCACACATAGGTCGCTAATCACCACCTAGTATAGTGTAGTATAGTGTTTGTATGGATCAATATATTTATCACAAACAGAACTATACTAGTAACCCCTTAGTATAGTGTCTCCAAAAATACAGTGTAAGCAGGATCAGCCCTGTTAGCTGCCAGCACTAGCATTTAGCCCCTCTGCTGTTTTTTTTGGGGAAGATTTGCATCAATTGATTGAGGGTCAAAGCAATTTATGAGCACAATAATACATCGTCGCCCACCCAAATTTATCTCTTGCCAGAAAATTTGCATGGAAACCTATCATGGTTTCTGAATTTAAACCTTTTTTTGGACCTAACTCTCAATATGTGCATTACAAAAAAGAATGAATTGTGGTCATATTGGTCCACAGACCCGATTCATCTTATGCCCATGTTCTCTGCTGTTACATATATGCCCAACAACATACTGGTACATTGTTGGAATTTGAGTGGTTATACCAGGATGATGCCTGCCTGGCATTATCCTGGTATTTTTTTTTTCAGCTGATGATCGGCTCTCATGTAAAATTAATCCTAGTGGCTAATTAGCCACTGGAACACTTTTACAATTAGCAGGAAGGGAACTTCCCCCGCCGCCTTCCACAGCTTTCTCGGGCTCTTCTGTCCCTCTAGGGAGCCCAAAAATTCAGCAGACCCTAGAGCTGACCAGAGAGCTGATGATTCCAATCATCTATATGGACAAAAAAACTGGAAGCAACGAGGATCTCATCATTTCAGTTTCACCGGATATAAACAACGCCATTTTTTAAATTGGATAAACATCTGATCACACTGATCTTGGTGTGATCAGATGCTTTAAGGGCAGATCTAGAGCCTAATAAACCTCATATTTCTCAGAAAAGAGTACCTGTCAATGCCTATTGCTACCACAGGGGAAATTTACATTCCTTGTGATTAAATGATAAAATAAAAAAAATTAAATAATAAAAAAAAAATCCCTCCCTCCCGTGCTCATGTGCAAAGATGAACGCAATCATTAACCAATCATGTCAGTATGTAAACAGAGATTGCATCATGCTTTAAGGAAAGCTGTGAGCGCTATGAATGAAATAAAGCGGCCAAGCATCAAAAAAAGGATACCAAAAAACCTTGCAAACACATAAAATATAAAGGATGCAGCGCTATATCACAACTATAATTATGCAAAAACATGTCCAAGATATATAGTGATTAGGTGACTAATGAAAACACAAACATTATGTCACAAGCAGAGTAACATGCAGTGCAAAATAGTCTTAGTGACAATCCCTCTCCTTCAAAAAGTGCTTCTTCCACGCGGTGATAGTGAGAAGGGTAAGACTGTGCACTCACCAGATGCACAGTTTAACTGCGCATTTAAAGATGAACTCTTTACTGGATCCACTGGTAGCTCCTTAGTCCGGGAGCTGCTGTCATATTTATCATTCTTATATACAGTCACGTTTTTGTATTTCTGTGGCCTGCACCGCTGGACGTTACTGGTGAGTGCACAGCCTTACCCTTCTCACTATCACCGCGTGGAAGAAGCACTTTTTGAAGGAGAGGGATTGTCACTAAGACTATTTTGCACTGAATGTTACTCTGCTTGTGACATAATGTTTGTGTTTTCATTAGTCACCTAATCACTATATATCTTGGACGTTTTTGCATAATTATAGTTGTGATATAGCGCCGCATCCTTTATATTTTAAGAGATTGCATCATGCATGAGAGGTATCACTATGAACGTCAGCTCAAGGGCAGTAATTCTAGCACTAGACCTCTTGTGTAAATCTAAAGTTGTAATCTGTAAAGGCTTAAAGCGTCGCCTATAGATATTAAATTTATATAGTTTGTCGCCATTGCATGCGTGTGCACAATTTTAAAGCATGTCATGTTTTGTATCTATTTACTTGGTGTAACCTAATCTTTTATATTCTATCAAACAATTGGGCAATATATTGTGTTGTTGTGC